CACGCTTAAAAACTAACGCGCTGCATACACAACTTGCCCGACTGCTATGCGGCGAAGTCGTCCTTCACAAGTCACAATAGCGGCGAGGTCGTCCTTCACAGGTTACAATGGCGGCGAGGTCGTCCTTTACAGATCACAATGGCGGCGACGGCGATGACGTCCTGAACGCCGGCTCCTGGGCAGATTCGTGCAGTTCCCACGTCGGCGGAACGCCGGCTGAGCGCCTATCGTTGAATATGTCTCTGTGGTGCTTCCGACGGCGAGAATTTTCCACCGACCCCGGTCTCAGCGATGGAGCCTTGCGACAGGTCACAATATCGGCGATGAGCCTGCTGCTGCTTACGACGTCGGCGATGGGCCTCCTTGTCGGCTACTACGTCGGTGATGAGCTTCCTTATCGGCTACGATGTCGGCAATGTGCACTTCTGCTCGGTTCGAAACCAAGTTCGTCTCGATGTTGCTCGAACAACAGTTACCAGTTAATCGCTTCTTCCTCTCGATCACATCGGCCTTTAGATCTCCTCGGCCTTTCGTATCACGATGGCCTTTCGTATCACGATGGCCTTTCGTATCACAATGGCCTTTCGTATTCAATCACGTCGGCCTTTCGAATCACGTCGGCCTTTCGAATCACGTCGGGGTCACCAATGTGGGAATATGTGACTCAATGAATAAGTCAGATTCTCTTGACAAGCCCACGCTTGTCGTGTGATGTGATAAAGAAAATAATATCGAGACTTTATTTGTAACTGGTAATAATAATATTTATTTCACGAGCACAATTTTATATGACCGTACAGGACGAACACCTTTATTGATCTGTTATTATAATTTTTCTTTTTTTATTATTTTTACGCTGCTAGGCAACTCGTTACCAACATAATCTTTAAGCTTTCTACACTCGCTGCGCTAGTGAGGTATTAAGAATTCCCCACAGATATATGACCATCAACACCATCTAGTGACAAAAACCGCGGATACTTTTTAGATGACCCAATATTTCGGACTGATCTAGGGACATTTAGAGTTTTGGGTTGAGTACCACTGCTCAATCCGATTTAGAGATCCGATTACTTCACGTAAACACCTATTAATTCAGTACGATCCAATGTATTTCCTCAAACATGGTATATATCATCAAAATATCAATCTGACAATCGAATTTTATATCTAAATTTTGTGAAAAATACCGTTTTCTTCGTTAAAATAATAAATTGTCAAATATTTTGTTTATATAATTTTTTTTATTCACTAAAAGATAATTATAATTACACTCTATATACATAATTTAAAATATTTTTAATTAAAATGTTTATTTCAAAATGTTAATATTGCAGAAATTATATAAATTATAAATATGAAAATTTAAACATGACAATTTAGTTGGTAAGAGCCAAGTTTATTTTTGCAATGTTAAAAACAAGTCAAAGCTTAATAATTATTTAAGTCAATTATTCTATCTTAAATAAATCTTTTTCTGTGCAAATTTTTGTGTGCAAATTTTCTCATAAAAATACATTTCCTTTCACCTTTTCATACTTCTTTTTTTCTTAGTAACGATAACTTTTGTCTGAAAAAATTAACTTCGAACAGATCATAGATCAATTTGAAAGCAGTGAAAGCAAGGAAAGTGCAGTTATAATTTTTAATCTCAATGTAAGTAGATACACATAATGTAAGTAAATATAATGTAATGCAAATAAATAAAAAAATACTTGACTCGATATTATCTAAAACATGGATTTCAGATATTTGGATAGGGACGCAATTGCAATACTAGCCATAGGAGCTACTTTCCATAGATACGCCTCTGAGTATATATAACATAAACTATTGATTTTCAATATTTCTAATAAATAACAGAACGTTGCCATAAATGAATACATCATAATTAATTTTTTTTTAATGAATACAGACGTTTAATTATTATAAGTAAAATATTCTTTGTTATTGTCAAAATAATATTAATAGAAATTTATGTTTCACATTTTTTAAAATAAAAATAACATATAATATATATATAATACATTATATTTTATTAATATATTTGTGTGTGTGTGCGTGTGTACGTGTGCGCGCGTGCGTGCGTGCGTGGGTGCGCAATTTTCTATTATTATATTAAAATGTAATATTAACATGATTATATAACGTGATTTATGACAAATGTTAAATTATTTTAATGTCTCCGTGAGAGTAATAATTCATTTATAATCGATCGATTTATAATCAGCAAGAGTTTGAACTTTATTCTGTATATCATCAGTTTTATGAAAAATTGATATGAAATATTGAAGATTTTGAGTAAAAAATGTGTAGGAATTATTACTAATTCGTTTCAGGACCATATACATAATATTCAGGAATATTGAATTATTTTTAAATTTTATTTATCACAGGACATATTAAATGTGTGATAAAATACATATTACAAAATAGATATTATTAATCTTTATCCTACTAAAGGGGAAGGGGGATCACTAGTTACCGAGCGATTCCTGTTCGTGCAAGTTTTTTTACGTCTTTCAGTAATTATAAATTATATTACATTTTATTATTTTCCAAAATGAAGTGCCAATATTTATTCTATTGTAGAAAATTGAAAATATGTGAGTGAATTTTTAGAGATTTTTTAAATCATTCTGAATAGGAAAAAAACGGACGAATTCTAGTGCCCCTGTAGTATGAATGAGGCATCAAATTGTATCTAATAGGATAAGGGTTAAATATGTGATAAAATATTTAATTAAATATGTGATAACATATTTTTCGATTTTTCTTTGTAAATAGTCTTAAATTACGATTTATATTTTTTGTGTGATAAATATGGATAAGAAGTTTTATTAAATATTTTAGAGGAAATTCTGCAACATACTTAATATCGATATTTATTAAATCTTCAAATAGCTTATATCCTACAATATATTTTGTAACGCATATTGTTCAAAATTTGATATAAAATATTTATGCAATGTTAATATATAAGATTTAAATTCCTCGCTTGATACTAGTAGACCACAAACTCTACTTTTATCATATGCTTTTTTCTCGATAAATATTATTGCATTAAATGCCAATAGATTTTATAATATAATTTTACAAATAAAAAAAATATGATGAGCCTTTAATTTTTTTATGATGTAACCACACAAATATTGTAATGAATTTTCAGTTAGAAAGTCATAATTACATATAATAATCTGTATTTATCTTCACATCCTGTGTGTGTGTGTGTATGTGTGTGTGTGTGTGTGTGTGTGTGTGTGTGTGTGTGTATTATATTTATATATATATATATATACATACACACATAGAATCCCTATCTAAAGCTTATTCAAAAGTGATCTTTTTATTCACTGTGAAAAAATTTTTTTTAACAATTTTTTGAAATAATGAGATATAAAACTTGATATCACAAGGAATAATATAAAATTTGTCTGAATATGGTTTCCGGTATTCATTTTTAAGAAATCATTAAGCAAAGTAAATAACACAGTAAAGTCGCTATTTTTTCGACCAGCGACAGTAGCGAAGACGGAAGGCATTTTATATTATATAAAAATAACAATAATACTTAATACTTGCGTAACAAACTTAACTCGTATTTTTTGCCAATTATTCAGATATACAGGACATCAAATTTCGATCCCACCCGTCCTGAGCAAATAGAATGGATTAAACTGAGTCGAAAAGTCTTCTACTATTTTGCACAATAGTTAACGAGATATTAACGTTTAAATAGTCGAATACGCGCGTCCAACCTATTATATATTGCTAAAGTATGGCCTACTGTCGCACGGCGCTCGGGCCGCGAAGAGCGGGGATGGCCACCTCAGCACAAGATACTTTTTTTTGTGGACTTGTGTTATTTTTATAATTACAAATATTTGCTTAATCTGCATTTTCAAAAATTGTTGGTATAGCATGACCATACAATCTATTTTTAAATTGTTCATAAACATTATTCGTTTGAAAATGTGCTGCATATAGTTTATAGTTTTTATATAAAACTGTGCTATCTTTATTGATTAAATTTTACCTATTTATTGCATTTATCCATTGTCTGCATCTATAAACAATTACAATTTTGAATACATAATTTTGATTATGTTATTATATCAATTTATAATATATGCTCATTTATAAATAATATAAAGTGCTTTTCAAGAAGGACACAATCAGACATTGTGGAACTGCGTTCTGATGCATAAATCCCTAAACACAATGCGAGACAACAGCGAGAAGAATAGCAATAGGAATGTTATAAAATGTTTTTATTGCCTCCCGTTGCACAATGCCGCAAAAGAAATAAAAAAATCTGATCTAACCAATCTAATTTCGTATATAGACTGTAGTATATTCTTTCATTATTTCGTTTTATGCGTGCAACGCAATCTGTTGTATAACACAGTGAATTATTTCAGCAATATAATTTGTTCAACATAAGCAAACAAGGATGTAATGATTCATTGTGTTACACTGTGTCTGTGTTCTTGCTGGAAAGTACCCATAATCTACACAGCACATAAAATGTTTTGCTGCAATATTTTATGCTTATGAGAAGCAATATAATACATGTATTTTTTATTTTTTAAATATAAAATAATGTTCAAGTTACTTTTCCGAATCTTTTGAAAACCAAAAATAACTAGAAGAACAATTTCAAGAATTGTTACTATAATTTGTAGCAGCACAATCATTACTACAATTTGTAGCAGCGCCCTCGCACTCATTTTGCTGATTTACACTTATCTAATTATTAACTATTTTTATAACTAAATGTTAGTTATCAACTAAGCAGTAATATAATGTCTGTCAGA